GTAGTCGTAGTCGTAGTAGTAGTAGTAGTAGTAGTAGTAGTAGTAGTAGTAGTAGTAGTAGTAGTAGTAGTAGTAGTAGTAGTAGTAGTAGGTGGTGGTGGTGGTGGTGGTGGTGGTGGTGGTGGTGGTGGTCGTGGTGGTGGTGGTGGTGGTGGTGGTGGTGGTGGTGGTGGTGGTAGTAGTAGTAGTAGTAGTAGTAGTAGTAGTAGTAGTAGTAGTGGTGCGCTACCGAGCCATCGACCAACGGGCAGACCCAGAGGGATGATAAGACGGCGCAGGCGGAGACCCTCCACGCGGAGAGGGACGGACGCGGCTAGGACGCGGATGAATCCGTTCCAGAGCGTTCCGTAGCACTCTCAGAGCGTTCCGGAACGCTCTGAGATGGCCGCGGCGCCCGAGACATCCTCTAGCGCCGCCCGATCTCAGCGATTTTCGATTGATTCTCACCCGATTTTACCCTCGTCCTGGTCTCGTCTTGTGCCTGTTCTACCCTGCCCCGTCTCCATATCCGTCTCACTCGCTCGCGCGCTCTCTCTCTCTCTCTCTCTCGGCGGCGAGCCCGCGGGGGGAAGTACGAGGGGACAGGCCTTCTCAGAAGTCGGCGGGGCGTCACAGAAGCCCCTCGCGCCTCGTCAGAACTCGTCTGCGCCTTCCGAAAAGGTTCAGTTGAGCGACGCAAAAGAACGGGACCGTCTTTGCCGACGTTCGCGCGTAAGCTGCCCGCGTAAGGTCGCGCTTAAGCGCCCTCGTCTCCATTGTGGCGTGCCGCGCTGGCGGCCCGTGGAAGTCACCGCGTCAGATCTCGCGTAAGACCCATGTCTTCTCATCTCTCAGATGACTTCTCCTCAGACGGCGCGAGGGCTTCCCATAAGCTCCGCCGCTCTCTGAACAGGCCTTTCCTCTCTCACTTCCCCCCTGTCCCGCCGCCGCCGACTCTCTCTCTGTCTCTCTCTATCCCTCTCTCTCTATCTCTCTCTCTCTCTCTCCCTCTCTCTCTATATATCGGAGGAGGAGGAGGAGGAGGCGCAGGAGGAGGAGGAGGAGGAGGCGCAGGAGGAGGAGGAGGAGGAGGAGGAGGAGGAGGAGGAGGAGGAGGAGGAGGAGGAGGTCACTCTCTCTCTCTCTCTCTTGCTCTGCCTGCCCCTGCCCGTCTCCCCTCCGCTTTGACCCCCCCCCTCCCACACCCTCTCTCCTTCCTCTGCGCAGCTCGCCCCGCTGCGGTGGGAGGGGCAGCAGCTGAGAAGCCAGCCTGCTGGCGGGTGCCCGCGGGCCTGGCTTCTTCCTGGGTGGACGGGCCGCCGCGTCCCCAGACATGATCGCGTCCTCAGATATCAGGGCGGGAGTTTTTTGTTGTTGTTGCTGCTATGTTCGGCCCCGGCCCCGGGACTGTCAAAAAACGACTCAGGATGCGAACTCGGTCCTGGGGAAAGGGTCGGGACTTCCAGGGACGCCGTATGGCAAACATCAGGACGTCGCACGTCTGGGTCTGTATCACAATCTTGGCTTGTAGGTACCTGCGGATCTCGTGTGCGGATGCTTTGTAAGTCTTGCTCGCAACATCATCGCTTTGTCTTCGAACAAGCTTCCCTTAGTCGTAGGCATGGCAGTGTGCTGCGATGCATACACGCTGCCGCTATCCCTCCCAACGGGCAGGTACGAATCTCCGAATTGCAAGAACATCAACGTGCGGACTGGGCAGCGGCGGGAAGAAGGGGAATGGGCGAGCACGAGGGTGAGAGGGAGCAGGGGTCAGGAGGAGAAGGCAGAGGAACGAAGGAAAGCAGCAACGGAGTGGCAGAGAGGCAGAGCGCGTTCGGTGGTCGCTTGGAGGGGTGGGGTTTGGAACCGGACCCCCGCCCCTCCTGGATGGAGGGGGGGGGAGTTCGAACCCCCCCCCTACTTCTCCTCTCTCCCTCTCGTCGGGCTGGCGCCTGCGTCGGCGGCGGCCGGCGGCGGCGGCGGGGACGACGGTTTCCTTTTCTGGACCAGCGCCGGCGCCTGCGGCGGCGGGCGGCGGCGGCGGGGAGCGTCGACGAAGACGACGGTGGTGGTGTGGTGGTGGTGTGGTGGTTTGTTGTGGTAGTGGTGGTTGTGGTGGTGGGTGGTGGTGGTGGTGGTTTGGTGGTGGTTTGGTGGTGGTTTGTGGTGGTTTGTGGTGGTGGTGGTGGTGGCGGTGGTGGGTTCTGGTGGTGGTGGTGGTGGTGGATTGGTGGTGGTGGTGGTGGCGGTGGTGGTGGTGTTGGTTGTGGTGGTGTGGTGGTTTGTTGTGGTGGTGGTGGTTGTGGTGGTGGTGGTGGTGGTGGTGGTGGTGTGGTGGTGGTGGTTGGTGGTGGTTTGTGGTGGTTGTGGTGGTGGCGGTGGTGGGTTCTGGTGGTGGTGGTGGTGGTTTGGTGGTGGTTTGGTGGTGGTTTGTGGTGGTGGTGGTGGGTTGTGGTGGTGGCGGTGGTTTGTGGAGGTGGTGGTGGTGGTGGTGATGGTGGTGGCGGTGGCGGTGGTGGTGGTGTGCTGGTTTGTGGTGGTGGTGGGTTGTGCTGTTGGTAGTGGTGGTGGTTGTGGCAGTGGTGGTGCTGTGGTAGATTGTGGTGGTGGTGGTGGTAGTGGTGGTGAGTTTTTTTGTGGTGGTGGTGGTGGTGGTGGTCGTGATTGTGAGTTGTGGTGGTGGTGGTTGTGGTGGTGGTGGTGGCTGTGGTGGTGGTGGTGGTGGTTGTGTGGTGGGTTGGTGGTGGTGGTGGTGGGTTGAGGTGGTTGTGGGGGTGGTAGTGGTGGTGGTGGTAGTGGTGGTAATCGTCGCTGCGTCCCCGCCGTCGCCGATGCCAGCGCCGGCGCTGCTGGCCGCTGCCAGCGCCGGCGCTGGCGCCCGCGCCAAAGGGGTGGTTTGACCCCCCCCCCTTTTGGGCTGCCTCCGGTCATCGTCGCTGCGTCCCCGCCGTCGGCGTTGCTGGCGGCCGCCAGCGGCGGCGCCGGCGCTGGCGCGGGGGGGGGGTTTGAACCCTCCCCCCCTTGGGAAGGGGGAGGGGGGTTTCGGGGGGGGGGGGGGGTTTGGGGGGAGGGGAGTCCCCTTGGTTTTGATCGACGGCGCCGACTGTTGGGGGGGGGGGCGGCCCACCCCCCGGTTCGAAACGCACCGCCAAGTTTTCCCAAGGCAAGCGCCCGTGAAACGCGCTCTCCCGGTCATGGGTAGGCTGTGATGAGAACAGAAGAGGGAGAGGAGAAATGTGCATGGGTAAAGACGGAAAACAGCGACGAAGGCGGTGATCGTGACGCCGGCTTCCGGCTTCCATGGGACAGTCAGTCGAAGTGACGGAGGAGAAGGAGGAGGAGGAGGAGGAGAGGAGAAAGCTCGAGGAATTGACGAACTTGGCAAGGATCTTACGTAAGCGAACTTCTCTGGTGATTTGTCTTACATGCGCGTGATGCGCAACGCTACTGTATCACGTCCTATTTTACGCTGTGCTGTCTTGTTTGCTATGTTTCCCCTTGCTGTGATGCACCATGACATACCGTGATATATGGTCAATTGGTATACGTTCAATGGTGATATGGTGTTTGCTTCTCTCACGCCTTCCTCTCCTCTCCTCTCCTCTCCTCTCCTCTCCTCTTCCCCCACCTCCTCCTCCTCCTCCTCCTCCTCCTCCTCCTTCGCCTCCTCCTCCTCCTCTTCCTCACTCCCCTTCCTCTTGGCAGCGCGACGTCCCAGGGCTATTCCTATTTTTTTTTTTTTCTTTATTTTTCCTCTCACCTCTTGTGCCCATCCCCATCTTCTTCTTCCTCATTAGTTCATGCACTGAGGGCGCGACAGCTGACGCCCACACTTGGAGCATGAAGATCAAACGAGAGGAAACAGATCCGATCGATCACGCTGTACAGCAGAGGCGCCGGGTAGACCTCAGACCATTGCAGACAGCCCGAGCCAGCTAACCTGCCCTCCCACAGCCCAGCCGTGGCACGAGGTAACTGGAGACGGGGAGGGTCGGACGGGGCTAGGACGAGGATGGAATCCGTTCCAGAGCGCTCCGGGCCGCTCTGAGAAGGCTGCGGCACCCGAGACATCTTCCAGAGCCGCGGGATCTCAGAGATTCTCGACGATTTACCTTCACCCGATTTTATCCTCGTCCTGGCTTAGTCTTAGGGGGGAGGGGACAGGGATCTCCTCCTTCTCGTCCCTCTCCTTCTGCTTTCTGCTCCTCTCCTGCTCCATCCTCCGTCGCTTCTGCTCCGCCTTCTTGTCTCCATCCTTCCTCCCGCTCCTCCTCGTTTTTGTTTCGTCTTATTCCGACGCTGGTTCTGGCCCACCGCGCTTCGGCGCGTCACGCTAGTTATCCACGTCGCGGTCCCAGAGAGCCTACGTCCCGAATGTTTCCCGACCTCCCGCCCCGCGAAGCGACACGGAACGTCATCCGCTCGCAGGGCATGGCATGCTGCTGGGGCCGCCGCCGCGGTACGCTAATCAAATGTTCCTGACCTCGACCACGCGCAGAGGGGGGTTGGGGGAGGGGGGAAGGCTTCTTAGAAGCACCCCTGCTTCTTAGAAGGCGCGGGCCTTGGCTGTATATGTTGGGCCAGCGCCTTCTAAGAAACAGCCTCCTTGTAAGAAGCCTTCTCCCCTCCCCCTACCCCCCTTGTGCGCCCCGCCACTGAGAGAAGCTCGCCTGCGAGCAGATACTTTCACGTGTGAAGAATCCGCTGACCGCATGTTTGATACCCCCGCAAGGCGCGCACTTCCCGTGGGAACAGGTGCGATATGCAGGTGCGACCATTGCACGCGCCAACTCGCGTGAACAACCCGCCGGCCGATGATGGATTCCCCCTCCCAGACATGCTCGCGTCGTGAAAGCATCAGGGCGGGCGTTTGTTCGCTTTATTCGCCCCGCAGGGCCTTCGCCGGGCCCTGGGGCCGTCAAACAACGACTCAGGATGAGAAGCCCGTCCTGGGGAAAGGGTCGGGACTTTGGGAGAGCCGTCTTAATAAAGTCAGGACGCCGCATGTCTGAGCTGGCGGCTTACACGCGTGAGCACGCGTACCACATGTACGTGTGCCAGACGCATTATGGATATCCCTCCCCACAAACGTGTTTACGTATCTTCAGGTGTGAAGAATCCGCTGTCCGAGTGTTAGATACCTCCCAATCTGGGCGCAACTCCGAGCCAGTACTCTCTTGGACCTCCCCAGTTGTGTGTGTGTATATATAATAAGTCTCTCAGGGCTTGTACGCGACTCCCATCGCGTGACTCTTCAAGTCTGAGCGCGATTCCTGTCATCTGCCAGGTGCGAACCATCGAACGATCCCGATCATTTTTTCCTACATTGGCCGAGCGGAGTATATGTGCATATATACATAAATATCGAAGACGCTGGCGGCGAATCACCGCCGCTCCCTGCCTGCCAAGATACGCCTATGGACCATGCGTTCCCCCAGCCGTTGTGGAAGCCCTTCGGGGAACACGCGGGGGAGGAAGAGGAGGATGAGGAGACGGAGTAAAAAGGAGTATGAGGAGAAGGTTGATGCGACCTCCTCTTGTGAGCTCCTTGAGTCATTATTGGGGCCTCCTGGGAGCTTCTTGGGGGCCTCTTGGGCCTCCTTGGGCCTCTTGGGGGCTTTGGAGGGCTTCGTGGGGGCCTCTTCGGCCGTCTTACGGCGTTCCTGGCCCGTTGGAAGCCGCCTTGGGAGCCTCTCTGGGCCATCTTGGGGCCCTCTTGGGGCGCTTCAGAGTCGTCTTGGAGGCCATCTTGGGCGTCTTGGAGGCCTCTGGGGCCGTCTTGGAGCCCTTCGGGGGCCGTCTTGGGAGCCTCTTGGGCCGTCCAGGATCTTGGGCGATCTTGGGGCAATCTTTGGGGCCTCTTGGGCCGTCTTGGGCTGTTGGAAGGCAGTTTTGAAGCAAATGTCAAAATCCTTTACAAAACCAGCGGGCAATCATTGATTGCGAAGGTCTTACGGCCGGTGCCGCCGACCCTGAAGACGACGAAGATGAAAACGAGCGGGGCGGGGTAGGAGGTGCAGGAGGAGGAGGAGGAGGAGTGGGGGGGGAAGAGGAAGGGTGGAGGAGGCGGATGAGGGAGGAGGAGGGGGGGGAAGGATGAGGAGGAGGTGCAGGAGGCGGAGGAGGAGCAGGAGGAGGAGGAGGAGGAGGAGGAGGAGGAGGAGGAGGAGGAGGAGGAGGAGGAACGGGAGGCGTTATGGCATTCTATTTTTTTGGGAAACAGCTTTTGATGGTCTCGGGGGCGCTCGAGGGGGAAACGTATCTGGGCAGCGTCCTTTGGCCGTCTGGGGGCCCCCTTTGGCCGTCCTTAGGCGTTCTTGGGCTGTCCTGTGGGGCTTGGGCCGTCTAGGGGCGCTCTTGCGGATCCGTCGTGGCGATCCCCCCCCTCCTCCAGCGCATCTACAGAGGGCCCCTATGTAAAAGCCGCGAACGGTGGATGCGAATCTGACCCCCCCCCCGCCCGGGACCCCCCCCCCCCGGCCGGGGAAGGGACAAATGGAAGGGGCTTCCCTTTGACGTGACTACGACGTGGGTCGATTTCCCTCAGTCCCCAGACTCCTCCCCCCGACGACGGGAGAGTGCTCTCTCACCCCCGACGGGGAAGGATAAACAGAACCAACGGGCAATCATTGATTCGTGCCTCTTGGGGGGGCTCTTGGGGCTCTCTTGGGACGTCTTGCCGGCCGCGTGTGCAGTCTGGAAGCCATTTCGGGCCTTCTTGGGTCCATCTTGCGCCATCTTGGGTTCTCTTGAGCCCATCTTGGCCGTTTTGGATGATTTTTTGGACCGTTTCGGAGGCCATCTTGGGTCATCTTGGGGCCCTCTTGGGCCGTCTCGGGGCCCTTCGGGGGCAGTCTTGGGAGCCTCTTCGGCAGTCTTGGGGCCATCTTGGAGGCCTCTTGGGCGATCTTGGGGCAATCTTGGGAGCCTCTTGGGTCGTCTTGGCCAGACGGGAGGCCGTTTTGAAGCAGATACCACATTCCGTCAAACACATAAGGAACATGAGTGATGTTGGCCTCTTCGGGCCTTCCTGGAAGACTCTTGGATGCCTCTTGAGCCGTCTTAGGAGCTTCTTGGGTACCTCTTGGGCCGTCTTGGGCTGTCTTGAGGCCATCTTCGGCCTTCTGAAGTGTATCTTGGACCGTCTTGGAGACATCGTACGGCCACCTTGGCCGTCTTGGAGGTATCTCTGAGGCCATCTTTGGCCATCTTGCCAGTTATGGAAGCATCTTGGAGTCCATGTTGGGCCATCTTGGGCGAGAAAGGCATTGGCATGTACATTTTCGGGATGGCCGGCGCGCTGTACCGAAGCCCCAGGGGGTTTGTTTAAAAGAGCCAGAGACCACCAGAACCCTAGCACGCCAGGCACCCTTGCGATAAATCAACAGGGGCGGCGGATTGTAGTGGCCTGCGGCCCATCTCGTCACCTTGCCTGAGTAGTGGGTCAGAATCCTCATGGGTGCTTCTTGCGATCTCTTCGGAGGGCTGGCGGGGGCCTCAGGAGGCAAGTTGGAGGCCGCTTGGGAGCCTCTTGGGAGCCTCTTGGGAGCGTCCTGGGGCTCCCTGGCTTCTTCTTGGGGGGCCTCCTGGGGCCTCTCGTGAGCCTCTTGAGGCCTCCTAGGAGCTTCCTGGGGCGGTGAGCTCGAAATGTCGGTTCGTGTTCGCAGTCTTGGGCCGTCTTGGAGGACTTTTGGGATGTCTGGGCGCACTCCTGACGGCCTTGTAGGCCGTTTTGGGCTTGTCTTTGGGGCCTCGTAGGCCGTCTTGGAGCGTCGGGATGCCGAAAAGTCAGAACCGCGAAAATCAGTGAAAAACCATGTGGGGGAATCCAATCCAATGTGCCTTCGGGGCCCTCTTGGGAGTGTTCTTGGAGATATCTTGGGGGGTCTTGGAGGCGTCTTGGGCCGTCTGGAGGCCATCTTGGGCGTCTTGGAGCAGTCTTTCGGCGACTCTGGGCCCTCTGGGGCCCCTCCTGATTCGCCGAAGGATTGTCACATTTATTGAAAGGTGGCCCGAAAAGGGAAGGGGGGATCGTATTCTGACCCGGGACCCCGGGACTCCCTGGGGAGCCCCCCCAGGATCCCCCCGCAGAACCACCCTCCAGAACCCCCCCAAACGGCTTCGATTACGACCTGGCTCGAGTCGCCTCCTGACAAGCGGGGCGCGCCAAAGAGGGTCTCGGGAGAGTCTGGTAGGACCACGGGGGGCGACGGACCTAGAACGGACTCGTCGGCGGATTTGCAGAGCTCACTTCAGAGAACTCGAAGGGACCTGAGGACACTCCAACTGGTGCCTCAGGACATGGTGGCGGATAGGTGCACAAGTGGCACGTGCGTGCCCAGGCTGGTCCAAACAGCCATGGAGGGCCACCGATGGGATTGCCGCAGCTTGCGCTTAGACGAATGTTGAGAAGCACCCCTGTGGGTCAGAAGCGAGTTCGAGCAACGGTTGAGAAATACGCTGAGGACCAACTAGCGACCTGTACTTTCCTACTGCGAAGGCCTTACGGCCGGTGCCGCCGACACTGAAAGGGGGACGACGAAGGCGACGATGGCGACGACGACGACGCTCGCAAGCTCTTGTGGGGCCCTTGTGGGCCCTGTTGGCCTCGGGACCCCCCCAGAAGTTGTGCTTGGTCAAGCTTCCTCATCATTTCACGGAGGAACAGCTACACGGTGAACCGCTCAACACTGCCAGTGTTCATGTGCAAACACGTTGAAACCGGCTGTGTTTCTGCATATGGTGTTCACATGTTGAAGATGCAGTGTGAATTTTGGTCCTGGTGTCGCGATCTGCGAGATGGGCTCGTCGGGTTTTCAAACTTCTGAGGATGCACCGAGCGAGCGACCAGAAAAACAACTGGACCGAGACCATCAATAGCCACAAGTACCACAACCACCACAATCAACACCATAATCACGCGAAGGGTGAGTATGACAAAATGTTCTCGTGCGCACATGGGGTAGAGCCCACAGGCAATGATTGCGTCGTCGACTTTCCTGACCGTTCCGCTCGGGACATCCTCACAATCACGCTCCGCATTGTTTTAACGACGGAACGCGAGCTTTGCGGACTCTGTTATTGATCGAGGGTCCGAGATGGGGGCGCTTTCTTCTCGAGCAGGCGCTCGCGAGCAGCACTGTTTCACCCCAAACTGTTCCCTTGTACCGCGTTGTTTCTAAAAAGAGGTGTTCGCCCGCCCTGCGAGGGAGAAAGAGAGAGAGAGAGAGAGAGAGAGAGAGAGAAAGAAAGAGAGACAGAGAGAGGGAGAGACAGAGAGAGAGAGAGAGAGACAAAAAAAGATAACGAGAGAAGGATGAGGAAGAGGAGTCAGGAGAAAAAGGTACCGATACAGCTACCCTTCGCATGTTTCCCCTTTTTCGGCCTCCGCGGAGGCCCTCATTGTCACCGCTGAATTCGCCTCGAAATCCTGGTCAGGACGCACCCCAGGAGAGGTCTGGGGAGTAGCGGTATCGGTACCTGTTTGGTTTCCCAGGGAGGAGGAGGAGGAGGAGGAGGAGGAGGAGGAGGAGGAGGAGGAGGAGGAGGAGGAGGAGGAGGACTGATCTGATGACGGTATGGCTTTCGAATGACGAGCCCGTGTTGATGAACTGGTCGATGCGCCCACTCGCTCACAGCTGGCCACTACGTGCAGCCCTTCTAGCTGCTACCATAGATGGCATCTCGCAGATAGTATCATTCGTCCGTTTTCCGATCCTTCTTGATACTTATAGTTGCGTGTTGCCGTTGGCGCCTCGATTTGTCGCAACTTCTGTAGATTGGCATTGGGCGGTGTGCAGCTTGCAACTCGTATTGAATTGCTCATCGCCGCATTGGCGTTGAACGTTTAGTAGAACCGACCTGAGCTGCAGCGAAGGTGGTCAAGCACGCACCTCGGCTCCCCCTTCCCCCCTCCCTTCGTCCTCTCCCTGCCCTCGCCATTCCCATCCCCCCTCTCCCTCTCCCTGCCCTGCCTGCTTCCCCTCCGCTCGTCGTCGTCGTCGTCGGCGGCGTCGTCGTCGTCCTCGTCCTCGTCCTCGTCCTCGTCCTCGTCCTCGTCCTCGTCCTCAATCTCCTCCCCCTCATTCTCCGCCTATCTCGCCCTCGCGGCTCCCGCCTCCTCGCCTCGCCGCCGGCCGATCCGTCCCCGCCGCCTCCCCTCGCCGCCTGCGCTGCTGGGCCTGCGACGTGCCGAGGACCGGCCACCTCACGAACTACGCGCTGAACAGCCGGGAGCTGGCGTTCGCGAGGTGCGAGGCCGGGGTCAGCAGCGAGGATGGCCCCTGCCCCATTGTCAGCACTGTGGCCCTCGCCACATTGTCAGCACTCTTATCATTGGTGTTCGGGAGGCTTGGAGGACGAGGAGGAGGACGAGGAGGAGGAGGAGGAGGAGGAGGAGGAGGAAGAAGACGACCAGTGGAAACCCAAGAGTCATCAACGATGTTGGAATCAACCCTCTCTCCAAGCTCCTTCTTCACAGGCCCCTACGACGGTTCATTCCCATTGAGGGAGCTGCCTCGTTGGAAGACAACAGTTTGAAGATCCTGAAGCGTGCCAAAACATTGTTCTCGGGATTTCAACACCGCGTATTAACCTGGCTGCTGCGCCTTGACGATCCAGAATCGTGCCAGAACGCCATTCTGGGGACTTCAACACAGCGAATCAACATAACTGTTGCGCCCGCATCATCTTACATCCTTCCCAAACCATCTTTATGGTACGTTGATGATGGGAACCCGTGAAACTCTTGCAACGTTTAAAAACACAAGTGCGCGGCGCTAAGGAAAGAGCCACATTTTGAACAGGAACCGCCCTCAATCTGTGAAACTCTTGCAAGTTGTTTTAGCGAATGTGCGCGGCGCTAAGGCGAGAACCACACTTAAAAAAAACAAGAGCGCGCAAGTGGATGACCCTGTAATTGGAAATGGGGGATGTGCTCGCAGAGCCCCTCCCCCCTCCCCCCCTTCAAAGGGGGGGTGAGATTTTCGACCCCCCCCCAAGGAGGGTCCGACCCCCCCCCTCCCCCCCCCCTCCCACCCTTGGCGCTGGAGGGGGGGGGGGGGCGGTTCGAACCCCCGCCCCCTCCCTTTTTTTGCGCCGAACAGGAGGCCGGGGAGGGGGCCTCTCCCGCAAGGGGGGGGTCTGGCCTCGGGATAGTGAGTAATAAGTAGTGAGTAGAGACTAGTGAGTAGTGAGTGGTGAGTAGTGAGTAGTGCATAGTGAGTAGTGAGTAGATAGTAGCGAATTGTGAGGAGCGAGTAGTGAATAGTGAATAGTAAGTAGAGAGTAGTGCGCAGTGAGTAGTGAGTAGTGAGTAGTGAGTAGTGAATAGTAGTGAGTAGTGAATAGTGAACTGTGAGTAGATAGTAGCGAGTAGTGAGTAGTGAGCAGTGAGCAGTGAGTAGTGGGTAGTGGGGAGTGGGCAGTGAGTAGTGAGTAGCGAGTAGGGAGTAGTGAGTAGTGAATAGTGAGTAGCAAGTAGGGCATTGTGAGTAGTGAGTAGTGAGTAGTGAGTAGTGAGTAGTGAGTAGTGAGTAGGGAGTAGTGAGTAGCGAGTAGGGTGTAGCGAGTAATGAGTAGTGAATAGTGAGTAGTGAGCCGTGAATAGTGGGTAGTGGGGTGGGTGGGTGGTGAGTAGTGAGTAGCGAGTAGGGGGGAGCGAGTAGTGAATAGTGAGTAGCGAGAAGGGCATTGTGAGTATTGAGTAGCGAGGAGGGAGTAGTGTCAGTAGTTAGTAGTGAGTAGTGAGTAGCAAGTAGGGAGTAGCGAGTCGTGAGAAAGGTGTAGTGAGTAGTGGGTATTTCGTAGGGAGTAGCGAGTAGTGAGTAGTGAATCGTGAGTTGTGTTGTGAGTATTTACCTAACAGCGAAGACTGATAGGTTTCTAATGGGCTAAAAAGAGAGCAGCAGATGACTCCACAGGGGGGTCTGGGCGGGTGCCGGACAGGGTGCCGCAGAAGTCGTTTTAAGCTAACAGTCGCACACTTCGTGCTCTTCGACCTCCCAGAACTCCATTCCCGGGCCACATTCTGAATGCCCGGAGCCAACTGTAGGCCACTTCGTGCTCTTCGACTTCCCAGAACTCCATTCCCGGGCCACATTTTGAATGCCCGGAGCCAACTGTAGGCCACTTCGTGGTCTTCGAGTTCCCAGAACTCCATTCCCGGGCCACATTTTGAATGCCCGGAGCCAACTGTAGGCCACTTCGTGCTCTTCGAGTTCCCAGAACTCCATTCCGGGCCACATTTTGAATGCCCGGAGCCAACTGTAGGCCACTTCGTGCTCTTCGAGTTCCCAGAACTCCATTCCCGGGCCACATTTTGAATGCCCGTAGCCAACTGTAGGCAACTTCGTGCTCTTCGACTTCCCAGAACTCCTTTTCCTGGGCCACATTTTGAATGCTGAGGCAGGCTGATGCTGCGGTCGAGGCAGGCTGGGGCTGAGGCAGGCTGAGGCTGAGGCCGAGGCTGAAGGCAGACTGAGGCTGAGGCTGAAGCAGACTGAGGCTGAGGCTGAGGCAGGCTGAGGCTGAGGCTGAGGCAGGCTGATGCTGAGGCAGGCTGAGGCTGAGGCTGATGCAGGCTGAGGCTGAGGCAGGCTGAGGCTGAGGCCGAGGCTGAAGGCAGACTGAGGCTGAGGCTGAAGCAGGCTGAGGCTGAGGCTGAGGCAGGCTGAGGCTGAGGCAGGCTGAGGCTGAGGCTGAGGCAGGCTGAGGTTGAGGCTGTGACTGCGACTGCCGTTGCCGCTGCGACTGTCATCGCGAATGCGACTACGACTGCGAGAACAGCAGAATTCTACAACTGGATTTTCATCTGAATCTTAAGGGGAATGCTTTCAGATATGCTTCTACACATCGCTGTTAGGTTGCTTTGCCGGGATAATTAGTAGTGACGTGTGGCTAGTATCTAGTGAGTAGGGAGTAGGGAGTAAGGAGTAGGGATTAGTGAATATTGAGTAGTGAGTAGGGATTAGGGAGCAGGGAGTAACTAGGGAGTAGGGAGTAGGGAGTAGGGAGTAGTGAGTAGTGCGTAGTGGGTAGTGAGTCTTGCGTATCGGGAAGCGAGTAGCGAGTAGGGAGTAAATTGTGGGCAGTGGGTAGTGAGTAGTGAGTACCCGGTAGTGAGTAGTGAATAGTGGTTAGTGGGTAGTGAGTATTGAGTAATGAGTAGCGAGTAGTGGGTAGTGAGTAGTGTTTAGTGAGTAGTGAGTATTGAGTAGTGGGTAGTGAATGGTGAGTACTGAGTAGTGAGTTGGGGGTCGTGAGCTGGGAGTAGTGAGTATTGAGTAGTGGGTAGTGGGTAGTGAGTAGTGGGTAGTGAGTAGTGGGTCCTGAGTAATGAGCGGTGAGTAGTGAGAAGTGAGTAGTGAGTAGCGAGTAGTGGGTAGTGGGTAGTCAGAAGTGAATAGTGAGTACTGGGTACTGTTTGGGGCTAGGGTTAGGGCTTGGGGTTAGGGTTACGGGTGGTCGGGTGGTAGTGTAGGGGTGGTAGGTTCGGGTTCGGGAGCCAGGGGGCGCCGTGGTGAAAGGGAGGAGGGCGGGGGGCTCGAATTTGGCGGCCGAAGGGGGGGAGGGGGGGGGAGGTCGGACCCCTCCCCCGACGACGGACCGGGAAAGGGGGGGAGGGTGGGGGTTCCCTGGCGACTGGCCGGGAAAGGGGAGGAGGGGGGGGGGTCCCCGACGACGGACGGGGAAAGGGGGGGAGGGGGGAGGGGTTCCCCGACGACGGATCGGGGAAAGGGGAGGGTTCCCCCCCCCCCCTTGGGGCCATTCAGCGGCGCGCCCTCTTAAGAAACGACCCGCCCTTAATCCGTGAAACTCTTACAATTTTTACCTAACAGCGTAGACTGATAGGTTTCTAGTTGACTCAAAAGAGCTCACAGATCACTCCACAGGGGGGTCCGGGCGGGTGCCGGACAGGGTGCCGCAGAAGTCGTTTTAAGCCAACAGTCACACACTTCGTGCTCTTCGACCTCCCAGAACTCCATTCCCGGGCCACATTTTGAATGCCCGGAGCCAACTGTAGGCCACTTCGTGCTCTTCGACTTCCCAGAACTCCATTCCCGGGCCACATTTTGAATGCCCGGAGCCAACTGTAGGCCACTTCGTGTCTTCGAGTTCCCAGAACTCCATTCCCGGGCCACATTTTGAATGCCCGGAGCCAACTGTAGGCCACTTCGTGCTCTTCGAGTTCCCAGAACTCCATTCCCGGGCCACATTTTGAATGCCCGGAGCCAACTGTAGGCCACTTCGTGCTCTTCGAGTTCCCCAGAACTCCATTCCCGGGCCACATTTTGTATGCCTGGAGCCAACTGTAGGCCACTTCGTGCTCTTCAAGTTCCCAGAACTCCATTCCTGGGCATGATTTTGAATGCCCGGAGCCAACTGTAGGCCACTTCGTGTTCTTCTAGTTCCCAGAACTCCATTCCTGGGCCACATTTTGAATGCTGAGGCAGGCTGATGCTGCGGCCGAGGCAGGCTGAGGCTGAGGCAGGCTGAGGCTGAGGCCGAGGCTGAGGGCTGAGGCTGAGGCTGGCAAACTGAGGCTGAGGCTGCGGCAGGCTGAGGCTGAGGCTGAGGCTGAAGGCTGAGGCTGCAGGCTGAGGCTGAGGCAGGCTGAGGCTGAGGCTGAGGCAGGCTGAGGCTGAGGCTGAGGCTGA